TAAAACCTCAAACTATAAGAATCGTAGAAAACACAGGAGACACCCTTATGGTAATTGGAACTTGGAACCAATTCCTATTCAGAACCCTAAAGAACTTTAAGAACTTTAAGAAATAAGATAGACAAGTGGGAGCTCATCAAATTGATGAACTTCTGCAAAGCAAACGAAAGCATCAAGAGCACAGGGAGACAGCCCACAGAATGGGAAAAAATATTTGCCAACTGTGTATCTGACAAAGGCCTAACATCTAGGATCTACAAGGAACTCAAATGCACCGAAAGGAAAACAACAAACAGCCCCTTTAAAAAGTGGTCAAAAGACATGAATAGACACTTCTCAAACGAAGATATTTGGGCAGCCAACAGACACATGATAAAGTGCTCAGTCTCACTCATCATCAGAGAAATGAAAATCAAAACCACATTGAGATACCACTTAACACCTTAAAAATGGTTATCATTAATAAAACAAACAACAACAGCTGCTGGCGAGGATGTGGAGAAAAAGGAACGCTTCTACACTGCTGATGGGAATGCAGACTAACTAGTACAACCTCTCTGGAAGACAGTGTGGCGATTTCTGAAAGAACTAGAAATTGACCTTCCATATGACTCAGCAATTCCCCTATTGGGAATATACCTGGAGGAATTCAAATTATTCTACAAAAAAGATACCTGCACATGTATGTTTGTTGCAGCTCTATTCACAATAGCAAAAACATGGAATCAACCGTCTTGCCCATCAAAGCTGGAATGGATTTAAAAAATGTGGTACACATACAAAATGGAATATTATGCAGCAATAAGGAAGGACAAATACATAGACTTTGCAGCAACTTGAATGGATTTGGAGTCGATCACACTCAGTGACTTATCACTGAAACAAAGAACAGATTTCCATATGTTCTCACTCATAAGTGGACCTTAAACACTTATAATGCTGTAAGAAGGCGATATGGCAGTAGTGGGAAACTGTCAGAGGCAGGGAGGGGGGTGGTATTGGCAGTTGAGGGAAACTGCTAGGGGAAGGAGGGGCATACCTCATCAACAAGGATACCTGCATGATCAATGTTTATATACCTAGCCCTGAATTGTACCCCACATTTTTATAATAAAAATTAAATAAAAAAAGGAAAATACCAGTCTTTAATTTACATATAGGGAATGAACATTATTATCTGAGTAATTATTCAAATAAATGCTTTAAATATTTACTCTGTATTGGCTTAAAGCTTCAAATTGTGCCCCTTAACAACATTTAAAAAAATAATACATTATTGTGAAAAGTACAGTGAGACCTCCATCTCCACAAAAAAATAGGAAAAAAAAATAGTCAGGTGTGATGATTCACACTTATAATCTTGGGAGGATCACTAGAGCTCAGGAATTTTAAACTGCAGAGAGAGAAAACTCTTTAATGCCATATTGATCTCTGTATCATTAACTGTACAACTTCAGTAGTTCTTTAAGATTTTAAAATAATAATTTTTCTGCAGCAATATTTCTTGGATTTTACTCAGCAAAACTTAGGCGTATTTCTTGTTTATTTACACCAATTAGTGTGAGAAAACAATTTCTATTCCCTTTATAGTGCTTTTTACATAGACAAAAAGACTATCACCATTGCTGTGTTTTGTTTTTTAGAGTAAGATTTTCAGGTCTCATGAGCTTTTCTAGTAGCTCATGTTTTCAAGATCTTTTTACCATTTGTATTATTATTCTCCACCAAAAGCTTGGCCATTTGTCTTTTTTCTGAAATGTGGCATTCTGTTGAACTTAGTTCCCAAATTGCAGCCTAACAAGACCTGAATGTAGCTCAATCCATTTTTATGCACGACATCACCATTACAATTCAACACACTGTAGCATTTGAATATTTTAACAGGGATCAGAATGTTGACTCATTCAATTTATCATCCTCTGTATTTCTTGAATGTTTCTCTCAGCTGCTACTATCTCCAGTTATTCATTGCACTTTTTGATCCCATTATTCCTCCCTGCACCACCTTTCACATCCATTCCATTTTTCAGATTCTGATATCACTGATTTTACCCATCTCTCCAATATATCACAATTATGCTGTACAATAGTACAGCACCCCAGAGATATGCAATCCCTGCTACTTCCATGACTCATTCATTATTCTTTAGATTTATCAGAATAAATATACGTCTCCCCAAACAATTTATAAGTATAATTCTACATTGCCTCCAGTGTCCCTATTTTTAGATGATTTTTGCGATCATTCTAAGGTTCCAGTTAAGCATACAAACAAAAACAGCAAACAAACAATGATGACTGGTCTATTGTTACTGGCATATTTAAAGACAACTGTTATCCCTCCCTTTATAGACTCTGTTTAAGAAAGTTAAATTCAATACCAACTGTAGGATGGTATTATCATTTTATTATGAAGCTATCATCCAAAAAATACAGATGAAACCTCTGATCTTCACATATAGGTAGCCAAGTGGGTATTGTGTGCCCTCACTGCAGGAGGTAACTTATGTATGCTGGGGCATGTCACATGGTTGGTTAAGCAAATGTTAGTAAACACAGAGTTAGTTTCACTCAGCATATTTACTTGCCCAGTCACAAAAGAAAAAAGCAAAGCAGAGAATATAAAATTAATGAAGTAAATAACACAAGAATCTTAAAGTGTTTGACGCAAATTTATTTTACCACAAAACAAATGAGAGTTACCAAAGCCAAAATGAACTGACATCTTATATATAAACTTTCATTAATAAGAGAATTATGGAAATGATGAATTGTTCAATTACAAGTTAAAATTTACTACACCTATGAAATTAAACAGTGACACATATGCCTTTCTTCTGTCTGGAATCCCCATCCACCCCCTGACATATTCATTGACACCTACTGCTGCCTCCAATCCTGCCTTGTTCATCTAACAAAATCCTACTTTTCCTTTATGAGTCAGAATGAGATAGTGATACTTCCTTTTCTCATGTTCATACCCTAGCTTGTGCTTAGTTCACACTCTATCTTCTTGTTTCAAAATACAACTATTTATTTAAAGAGCTGTATATTCTATTAATTCTGAGATCTGCCTTAGTACCAGCTAGTACTGAGGATTGTTTAATAAAATATTGTTAAATAAACGAATCATTTTAACATTTTTTCCAACAGCTATATTTTATACAGTTAGGCAGTGATTTTAGGGTTGAATGCTCTCTAGAGAAATTATTGTGATGCATTGGTGTAAACTCAATTTTAATAAAACAATAAGAAAATATGTGTACATGGGTAAACTCATTAAAGTGTTTCAATCAATGCTCAATCTGAGGCAAGGCACACGTAACAAAATAAACAAAATGGAGGGAAGTAGAGACTACAATTGTTAAATAATACATTTCATCTTTTTTCTCATATGCATATATGATATGTATCTTAATAAAGTTTTGGATGGATATTTGTTTTCATGGTCTAATTAATGTAGTAGAATTGTAAGAGATAGTAAAAAGTAGAAAAAAAATTGTATAACATTTTCACATTTAATATAATATTTTTCAGAAGACAGTAAAAAAGACAATCTTTAGTGAGAGTTTAAAAAAATGAGGACAGATCAGTTGATAAAAGTGATAGATATTTTTCTTTTGAGCTTAGTGTAAGACCAGAAACAATTAGCTTAAAGGACAAGTAGAAAAATGCTACAGAAGGTGAGATATTGTGACCAAATTACTAAATAATACAGGGAAAGAATCTCCCAGAGCCATTTAGGACAGAATATGTACCTTTTGATCTACAGTCAGTTAGATATTAAATTTAAGCCTAATAACACTTGACAAATATCAATTAGTTCTATAAGTAGGTTATACTGACTGTGGTTTTCTATGCTTATCCAGAAAAAGTCTTTTTTGTCCATGGGGCCCTATGTGGCACATATAATAGTATCATCTCCACAAATCGTCCCCAAGCTCCTCTTCCTTCCTTATGTTACGGGGCCAGAAACTGAAGAGGAATGAGTATCAGTTGCCCAAAGTGTAGAAAGAAATGGAACATAAAAGTCTTTGAAAATATTGACTCCTTAAGAAGGTTTAACATACTGTGGTCAGAAGAACAATGATTTTTTTTTAAAGTATTTCTGTGTTTAGTATTCCTTTCAATACCAAGTGACATTTAGTACAATGTTTTTTTCTAAAAAGTTAATCAATTAAATAACTATAAGCTCGTATTATGTATTAAATAAAATTGCAAAATTTCAAGATAAGATACAAGTTTAAGGTTATTGTCAAGGGTCACTGAAAAAGTGCCCTTTTTATCTTTAGCTTTTAATATAAACATTTGTTATGCTACTGTGTTTATAATATATGCTGGTAATTGTTTTATGGAATTTTCCGCAACCTCTATCAAGAAATGTAGAGTTTTTTTGTTTTTGTTTTTGTTTTGAGTTGGAGACTCACTGTCGCCCAGACTGGAGTGCAGTGGCCACTCCCGGCCACCACAACCTCGACCTGCTGGGCTCTGGTGATCCTTCCGCCTAAGCCTTCCAAGTAGCTGGAACTACAGGTGCACGCTACCACACCCGGCTAATTTTTTTGATTTATTGTAGAGATGAGGTCTCGCCTGCCCAGGTGGGTCTCGAACCCGCGGGCTCAGGCAATCCACTCACCTCAGCCTCCCAAAGGCATGGGATTACAGGCTGAGTCACTGAGCCCGGCTAGAAATGTAGAGTTTAGATTAAATTTAATTATTTTGTTTTTATGACAGAGCTTTCAAAACTTGAAATAAAGTGACAATTTACATATATGAAAAATAAAGGCCTACATTAAGAAAGTTAGTCTCAATGAAACATTCCAGCGACCCATTATTGTGGACTTTTATGCTGTTGCCTTGGAAGCTTTGAACCTGAAACAAAGTTTTTGTTTGATTTTTCTATGCATTGTTTTTATCCAGTTAATAAATGAAATGCATTCACTGAGAATCTGAAAACACAATCAAGTCACTTACGAAACACAAAATTTGATTCAACTTACCTGTTCCTGTTGCTGGAAATCCAATCTGAAATAAGTGTTGATGCTTGTTGGTGACAGTGCTTGTTGCCAAAACTGCATGCCAGCATTATAACTTCTCTACGAAGTTCTCTAGATAGCATCCAAAGGGGGAAAAAAACGTTAAAAAGCAAGTCAGGTTAGCTCTTTACCTACTTAAAATTACTTAAAATAATTTTTAGATTTGGAAATCCTATGCTGCTGAGTAAAAGACTCGTAGGATGGAAGTTAAACATACTGAAAGTATTCTCTGGAAGCAGTAACTACAGTGAGGGGAATGGAATTGCAATCTCACTACGACCAATAAAGACAGATCTTAAATTAAAACACAGCAAAATATTTTCTTTATTCTCAGAATCAGGCAGTAGAAATCATGCTACCCAGCAGCAGTCATCTCAAGAAAGTGAAATGTAAGACGGAGAATGAAAGAAAGATGTTATTTGGCTGCTAAAATCACAAAGACATTGGTAGTACATTATTGTACAGCTCTGGGGGAAAAGATAATAAGAAAATGAAACAGTACTCATGTTGGTAGGATGCTTGAACAAGAGATCCATTAAAATTATTTTTTGGCCAACCAAGCTTGATGTATGTGGTTGCAACTTGTTTTAAAATATATTCCTAAATGGAATGTAGGAGAAACAAAGACAAGGTTAGTTCAAAACTTCTCTGTGCCGACAATTAAAATTCTATTTAAAAAATTAAAATATTGTAAAAATATACCCATTCTCAAATATCAGGAAAATCACAGGCATAGTAATACTCTATTGTACTTTTATTCAACTATTGAAATGGTAAAACTCTTCTCTTTCTTCCTATTAAATGGCTAATTTGCATGACTAATTATTTTAGATAGCAATTTTTGCAACAAAATGTGAAAAACAGGAAATATTAATAACACCTATATATACATATATACAAATATATACAGATATAATATATTTTAAAAGCATCTAATATTTATGCATTTTATGCCAATAGACCATATTTAATGCAAAACTGTTATGCTGGCCAAACCAATAGCCTAGCGTTGATAAAGCTCAGATAAACAGAGCACTAAATTATTATGATAACCAAGCTCAACAATCTATTCGACTAATGATATACTTAAATATCAGTAACAATATAAGACATGTTCTCCCTCACTTTAATGTGGTCCTTGAATTTTGCCAAAAACATAAAAGCCTTGAAACTACAGTAACAACAATTCCTAACTCTTAAGATATTGGACATGATAAGATCTTGGACATGATACACTATTCTAAAGTATAAATATAGTCAAAATTGTATTTTACTGTGTTAGGGAATAAGAAGTGTAATAAGTCTTTCTTTAGGAAAAAAATTATATTATAACTGTAATAACCTATTTGTTTGCATGTTTTTTGTAAGGGCTTAGACAAAACTAACAACAAAGAACAGTAATGATGTAGATGTATTCTCTTTTGTTTTGAGTTGGAGTCTCACTCGGTCACCCAGGCTGGATTGCAGTGACATTCTCACGGCCACCCCAGCATCAACCTGCTGGGCTCTGGTGATCCTTCTGCCTCAACCTTCCAAGTAGCCGGAACTACAGGCACATACTACCATGCCTGGCTAATTTTTGATTTTTATCATAGAGACAAGGTCTCACCAAGTTTCCCAGGCTGGTCTCAAACCTGCAGGCTCAGACAATCCACTCGCCTCGACCTCCCAAAGTGCTGGGATAACAGGCTGAGTCACCGAGACTGGCCAATGTATTCTCTTTTTTAAAAAATCATGAGAAGTTATTTTTCTGTAGATTTAGAGCAAGAAAAAGGAAGCAACTCTGTGGCCATCAAACATCTTAGATGTCTCCAATAAAAATATTTCATGTCATGGCAATCCAGTTTTGAGGAATTCCAAATGTGTAGGTTAATTAGCAGAATCAATATGTCAAAAAAAATAGGAAGATTTTATCAAACATAGAGCAGGCTCTTAAAATAACTGAAGAAAAACAAATAGTACTCAAAGGAGATAAAAAGCATAATGATAACTTTAAGAATTAAAAGCTTCTGAGCAGTAGTTAATCTTAATATTATTCAAAACAATTATTAAATCAGATTAGGTAGTATTAGTCAGTGTTTTGCCAGGTTTTGAGTTAAGAAAATCTGGTCAGGTTACATTTTGAAATGTTTGTCATGTCTTTGTGTCTATTTGGATTATCTGTTATTTGCTCTCCTGTGTCCCCTTGGACCCAATTATGAATGGGCTTTTGCCTCAATGTTGATCTTATCCTTGTTAATTAAGGAGGTGAATTGAATTCACTATGCCCTTTTGGATAAAAATAGTGACTAAGAATCTTTACTGAACTGCCTATGTTCTGTTAAGATCTTTGGGATCGTTCTACCCAGCTAAGTCCTTTGTGAACACAGTCCTCTAACTCTTGGAAAGTAAGTTTGAACTTTAAGGATTTGCCATGTATATTTTCTTCTTTAATTCTGAAGCATTTAAGCTTAATTGACACTTTTAGACCAGAACAAAAGATAACTTTCATATTAAATTTCTCTTCAAATAATTGTCATCAGTATTGCACGGTATCAGAACAAAAATGATAACACAAACTAAAACAACTCCAAATCACTTGTATATAGTAGAAAATAAGAAATTAGTTTGTCTTCTAAAAATTAAAAAGTAGAAACTGTATCTTTTTACATTGAAGACATTGTAGTTTTCCATGCGGTCCAGTAATTTATCTAGAGGATAAAGAGCTCGGCTGGCAGCATGCCAAGGAAGAAAATCCTTTTCCTCAGACAGGTATCTGATAATCTCCAGGGGGATATTCTGAGGCAAATAGCCAGCCCTGCAGTCAAAAAAAGTTAATGTTAATTATATGCAGAATAGATACATGATAATGCAAAAATGAAGATTTTACTTATGCAAATAAAACACCAGAAAGCAAGATTCATCATAATATAAAGTATACTCAGGATTATATAAATATTATTATTCACTTTAAAAATATAGTCCTAGTTGGGATGCCAATGCCCCTTAACAAATACAGAGTTGGAGAGTTAAAAATTAACGTAAATACAAAAACATCAGAATGAAAATTTTTTAAAAAGGAAGGGAGTATGGAATACAAGCAAAATTCTAGGTATGTTCCCTCACAAAAACTCTTCAGAGGCTGAGAAGTAACTGAAAATAATTGATTACTGAAATGTAATTTCAGTTTCTCAATCTATTCTCTTCATTTTTCATGAAACTCAATGTAATCATAGTTAACACACATTGTTTTAAAAAAGATGATCAAATTAAAATATCAATTTCATTTTGAGTGTTTCTGTGTTAGATTGCAATATTAGCATTTTTTCAAAGCTTTTTTGAAATGCTTTCTATAACACCTATAAAAATCAGAGGTAGATTTTAATAAAATTCAAATTACATATGTTAAAATAATAAACTCCTTTTAATTTTTTTCCTTTCAAAATACATGTTGGAGCACCTTGGGGACCAGTGTCAGATTCTTTAGAAAATACTAAAATGTAGCTTTTAAAAATTATCTTAATACATACTGTCTATAGTTTAAGAGGCTATTTCCAGAAAAAGAACCAGAAAGAGCTGCATTTCTCTATATTCCAGTAGATTGCATGAAACATCCTTGCAAAGTCAAAGCAATATAAATGATAACTCATGGTATATTAAAATAGGATCTTAGCCTTGATGTCTCTGCTACATGTTATGACATTATGCATTATGTATTTTGCTTTTTTTTAATCATTAATAGTTGCTATGGTTTAAATGTTGGTGTTTTCCCCAAATTCATATGTGGGAATTTAATACCTAATGTGATAGTATTAAGAGAGAGTCTTTGGGAAGTGATTAATGCTTGAGGGCCCCATCCTCATGAATGAGATAAGTGCCCTTACAAAAGATCCAGTGAGCTCCCATGCCCCTTGTACTGCTATATGAGGACCATCTTTGAAACCAAGGGCAAGCCCTCACTGGACATCGAATCTGCTGGAACTTGATCTTGGACTCCCCAGTCTCCAGAACTGTGAATAAAAATTTCTGCTGCTTATTAATTACCTAGTGTAAGATATGTTGTTATAGCAGACCAAACAGACTCAAATATAATAAACTGAATGCATAACATTCAGTTTTAACATAAGGAAGAGGGAAATATGAAAGCAACCAAAGTCTTTATCGAGTGTATCAACATTTCACACTATTGTTCTTTTGTTGCATTACAAAATAAGATGGATCTTTTCATTTGATGGAAGGTGGACAGGAAAGAAGCAGAGGCTTTTTCTCATATTCACTTAAAATAAGTTTGCCATATTACTCAGTCCTAACTCAATGGGATAAGCAAAAAATACCTTATAGTGTTCATAATTTTAATAAATTCTGAAAACTGTGCAGCTTTTTAAAATTAAAACTAAAGAATGGTGTGTCATTCTATTTTGATTCAACCATAATACAAGATCAACTATACTTAACATCTCACATAAAATAAAATTTCAAAATGTTCTGAAATTTGTATAATTTAGAGTACTTCTAGATTTCTTGTGCAGTTTCCATTTTATACAATCTTGTGGAAATAGCCTGAAATTAGTCTATGGCAGTAACTATTAAATAAGCAACTATCTTTTAGTTAGCTTAGCATCTTAATAATACAGTTAAATTTTTATTTCATGGATTTGTCAATCACTGAAAAAAGTGGGTTTTTTTAATTAAAATAATTCTTTGATTTTCTTCTTTAAAATAACTATAGCTTTCAACATTTCATATTTTGTCATTTGTCTCTCCTGAACTTTTAATTTGAAATATTAATTAGCCTGGTGATCCTATATTCACCCCCTCTTTACATACATCATGGATTATGTAATGTTAGAGTTGAAGATTTATTTAGAAGCCATTACTATTTTGTTGGAGAAATAAGAAGGGTAATGTATTTTTTAAAAATAACTTTCAGTAAGTAGCTAACTTATTATAAGTCTTCAAGTAAATTTAGAAAATCTGGAAAGTTGTTTGTATCTATTTTCTCATAGATTTAAGCACAATAGCCTTATACTAATTGTAATTTATTGTGTTTTACTTCATCTCTGTAAATGGGTGGACATTATATAATGGGCAACTTGATTGCAAATTTTAAAAAAGATAACAAATAATGTTATAAGAGAGACTTAGACTTGAGAAAAAGTCTAGACCTGACTCATTGAATAATTAGGCAAATAATTTATCCAGCCCTCACACTGCTTGTTTATGAAATAAAAGGGTTGAACTGGGAGTCACTGTAGTCTATATCTACAATTTAATCTTTTAAAAAATAATTACTGTAATATGGACAGAATATAATTATTTTAAAACTTTAAAAAATACTATGTAATTTTATATTCTTATTCTTCAATCATTTAGTATGTACAAGTCCAAAAGACAGGGCTTGGATCTAGATTTATAAGATAGCTGGAATTGTTTTAAAAAAAATGTAAAGCAAACCTGATAGAAGTTCCAAGTAATGACAAACTAAGTAAAGAAAAGGATGCATTAAAAATGGAAATGAGCCGGACTCGGTGGCTCAGCCTGTAATCCCGCACCTTTGGGAGGCTGAGGTGAGTGGATTGCCTGAGCCCGCGGGTTCGAGACCCGCCTGGGTAGGCGAGACCTCATCTCTACAATAAATCAAAGAATCAGCCGGGCGTGGTAGCGCATGCCTGTAATTCCGGCTACTTGGAAGGCTGAGGTTGAAGGATTGCCGGAGCCCAGCAGGTCGAGGCTGCAGTGGCCGGGAGCGGCTACTGCACTCCAGTCTGAGTGATAGAGTGAGACTCCAACTCAAAAAAAAAAAAAATGGAAATGGAAAATTGGGATTAAGATAGTTGACATGAGGCCACAGAGTATGTTTCTTCTATGGAATTAACCAAAACAGAGAGAATTTCCTAAGTACTCGGAGAGGAATAGGACCAGCCCAGCATCACACTCCACAACTCATCAAAGAAGTGATAGTAACCACATAGTGAAAAAAAGAGAAAAATCAATTGACCTGGGCTCATTGGGTCAAACTCTCCTCTGGACCACAGCACAGACCACTAGCAGCCTCCAGATGCAGTGGAAAAGGTTAGTGGGAGGAATTCAGGAGTTCTGTGCTATTACTGAGGATTTTAAGGGCCCCCTGAAACATGTGGGACTCCAGTCCCTCCTGAGAAAATGTTTTACCCACAACCACACTCTGCCAAACCCCACATGGAGTGGTTCAGGGAAAGAAAAAAAAAAAAAGCCCTGAGCATTTCTAGACCATCATATCTCAGGAATGCAACTCTTGCTGGTGGCTGCTTTTTAGCCAGCGTGGAAGAGGACAAGCTCCAAGGGCAAACTCCACAGTGCAAACAATTCCTGTCTGGGATAGGCTGCCCTGAGAACTCCTGAATCCCTGAGACCAGCTCTCCTTTGATAGTTGGCACACACACTGCCTAAAGCTAAGGTGGGAAGCTGGGCGGGACTTGCTGCACAGCAACCTCTCAACCCCATGTAAATGCTTCTGTGCCCACCTTCCACAACAACATTATACCAGTGGTTGGGGACTTCCTTCGAATCCTCACTAGGGTAGCCAAGAGTGCACAAAGCACAGGTGCAGTGCCTGAACTCTTCCTTTTCCTCCTTCTCCATACTCCCCTCAAATGCTCAATATAGACAGATAACTTGGGTAATCCCCAGAGCCTCACAATCCTCTTAGGTTGACTGGGCATTTCCTTTGAACAACACATACTAAGAATCCCACAGCCACCATCACAGCTGGCTCTCTCCCACAAGTACCACCTCTTAACTGGAGGTCAACTGCATAGCCTATCACATCTGATACAATTAGCTTTGGGGAAGATCTGATTCCAGACCCCGCTTTCCAAGCCACTGCAACCACTCAGGATGCTGGGCACCAGTGCAGGTACCCAGCATAGGACTGACACAGCTGACAATTAAGATACTCACCACACCATGCTATATATAACCAAGGGAACCCTACAGTGCATACGTCAGCAATCTGCCAACCTCAAATGAGAAGAAATTGTCTGCCCACATGAGAAAGAACCAGAAAAAAAAATCGACAATATGAAAGAACAGAGTTCTCCAACACCCCCAAAACACCACACAAACTCTTCAGCAATGGACCCTAACCAACACTGAAATTGCAAACATAGAATTCAAAAGGTTAGTTATAAAATTGTTCAATGAATTTCAGGAAAAAGTTCAGATTAAAACAAACAAACACTATTCAGGGCATGAATGAAAATTATCCGATAAGACAAAAGCTTAAAAAAAAAGCTGAAATTCTAGAAATAAAAGAATCATTTAGAGAAGTACAAAATGTAGTGGAAAGTTGTATCAGTAGACCAGAACAAACAAAGAAAGGATCTCAGAACTTGAAGACAAAGTTTTCAAATTAACTCAATCTGACAACAATAAAGAAAAAAAGAATAAAGAGAACAGAACAGAATGAAGTCTCCAAAAAATGAGAGATTATGTAAAATATCCAAATCTAAGAAGAAGAGACATTTACTGGGTTTGGAAAACCTATCTGAGGGAATAATGCAGGAAAAGTTCCCCGGCCTTGCCGGAGGTTTAAACATGCAAATACAAGAAGCCCAAAGAACCCCCCAGAAGATTCATTACAAAAAGGTCCTTCCCCCAAGGCATATACTCAGTCAGTTTTGCAAAGTTAATCTGAAAGATATAATTTTAAAAGCAGTCAGACAAAACCATTAAATCATTTACAAAAGTGAGCATATCAGACTACAGCAGACTTTTCAGAAGAAACCCTACAAGTGAGAAGGGATTTGGGAACCTACCTTCAATTTCCTCAAACAGAGT